GCCCCTTCTCCCTCTCCCCCCAGTCTGTCACCCCAGTCCCACTGGCCTGAGCTGGCTCTTCTCACTGGCATCTCAGCAGGGCACGGGGCAGCCCCGGCCAGGGGGTTTGGTTGGGACCAGCATGGGCTGTAGGGCTGAACTGGGACAGCCCCACCCCTGCCGTGCCCGGACCCGTCCCCTCAGAGCCATGAGAAGCTGGAGGTGATGGAAGTGGTGCTGGCTGTGGTACAGGACATGATTTGGGAAGCAAAGCTGGACAGCAGCCAGCCCCATGTCCCTCCTTCCCATGCAGGGCCAAGTGCTGCTGGTGACTCTGCTGAGGTGCCACCCCTGGCTCCCAGCTGGGGCATCTCCCAGCGCTGTCACCACTGTCACACGGGGAACTGAGGGGTGCAAGGAAGGGACCTGCCCTCGAGCTCCACATCCCAACCCTCCCCAGGGAGCAGCACAGATCCCAGGAGGTGCCACACATATTCCTCCTCCCCTGCCTTGGACCCCTGTGGGGATTTTAACGAGGGTCTCTTCTCTTGCAGGGGTCCCTGGTGCTATCCCGGGAGTGGGAGTCCCAGGAGCAGGCTTTTTCCCAGGTAAAGGGGTCCAGGCAGCGCTGGGAGGGGCTTGCAGGGAGGGGCTTGCAGGGATGGGCAGGTGCCTGAGGGGGTCCCTGGATGCCTCTGAGACATCGTGGAAGGCTGAGAACCTGCCAGCTGGGATCAGGGCATGTATGGTCACCCTGTCTGCTGCTTAGCCCAGGGTGGCTGTCCCAGCACCAGCCCCACGGTGTGGGACAGGACTGGGTGGCAGTGCCAGACTTACCCCAGGGCTGGCACCTACACCCTGCCCAGACTGGGAGCATCCCAGGGGGGATGCCCCATGCCCGTGCACCCTTGTGACCCTCCTGCCTCCCCATGGCCCCCGGGAGGCTCGGAGGGGTGGATGGGTGCTGACAGGGCTGGGTGCTCAGGCTGTGCCGTTGCTCGCAGGTGCTGGAGTTGGAGGTTTGGGAGCAGGTGAGTGCTGGGATGGGGA